TCAGCAGGCAGCCTCTTTAGCCAGCAGCTCCCTTGGAGGCTCAGTTCTATAACGTGGATTTGGGAGTTATTCCTGGAGTTGGTTTCTTTAGCTAGCCAACTGCAGCTTTCTTTATTTCAGCTTTCTTTAGTTCCTTCATTTCATACTCCTGTAATAAGTCCCACGTTTATATTTGTAAGCATGCTGGCATAATCTTATACCTGCAACTCTGACTTGTCTTACCTTCTTTGTGGATTGAGACAAATGAAATGGTTGGAGTGTTATCCCTGATATTGATTTTATCCTGATTTTCTTTTCCTCAAAGCTAGTTTTGAACTATCCTGTTCCCTTTTGCATGATTTTTCATGCACTTTCCTCCATGGTTAAATTTGTTTTTCTGGAGTTATATTGATGTGTCTAACCACAAAAGTCAATGTTTCCATCTTCACTCACCTATTAAATCAGAAAAAGTTTATGTATCAATTCATAGAATTCATAAAATTCATAAATCACCTTTCCATAAAAATAGGATTGTTATTAATAAGCATACAATACATAATGCATGCTTGCTGAAGGGTGTAACAGCCACAAAGCGTTGGCAGAAACATCCCAATATCAATCAAGACATTAGTACTGGTACCTCATTTCAACAAAAAAGTGCTATCTTCTATGTAAGTCATGTCCAGCATATTTCCTGATATCTGGGGGATGACTTTAATAGATGTTAATGTGATGTTATTACTGAAGTGTCATATGCACTCTCTTTTTATTTGTTTTAGTTTTGCTATAGTGCATGTGCTCCCTAGGAAGAGAGAGAGATAGAAAGTGAGAAATCATCCCTTAGGGATGGTGGCCCTGCAAACCCTTCTTCATCCTCCTCTTGGGATTTTGGGCATGCATGCACATGCACCTGGCATGTTTTTCAAGCTGTTGCATCCAGGGCTTGAACCATGCAATCACCATGTGAGAGCCAACAGCCTTAAACCTCTGTGCCATTTGCTGGCCCTGACTGGTTCTCTTATGGACTTACTCTTGCTGTAGAGTTTTCTGAAACTGCCATAAAAAGTGGGTTCACATAACCCACATATCTCAAGCTAATGTGCTGGCTGGAAAGACACTGGTTTAACTGGGAGGGCTATGCTCAGTAATTGAAATCAGAGCACATTCCTGCAAAGCCTTCTCTCCATTCCCTGAGTTTTGGTCTTTCTTACAGCTATGACTACCAGGGCAAAACAATGTGAGAAGTTAGACTCCAAGCCTGAATGCAGAGTGCCTTCCCATTCTGCAGGTTGTGGAAAGATTTCTGCTGTGTGCTGGTTGCCCAAGGGCAAGTGCTCACTCTGTGAATCCACAAAGCCGGGAACAAGCATTTGTGAAGACGCAATAAACATTCTGTCCCAAGTTTGGAACTAAAAAAGGATTTTATTTATTGAGGGCAAGAAGATGCAAACAATATAAAAATCAAAAGCTTATCTGGCATTTTATTCGCTTTTCTCTCTCTGCTTGTCAAATGGCAGTCGGATTTTCTTTGTACATTTTCTAATGGTCCTGATCCGCTCATGAAACCCTTATACAGGGAGAGCTGCAAAGTGGATTCCATAAGTGACCCTGTGGGAAAACTCTTAAGCAGGATAGGAGTGATCGGTCGGTTCTGCCTACTTCTTTCCCTTCTGCTTCATGTGTACTACAAAATAGTCGTTGCATGCAATGATCAGGCCTGCAATTAGTGAAAAAAAGCTCTGGAAGCCCACTTTGCCATCTCGGCACTGGTCCAGGTCCTTCATTATTTTGTCCACAGCCAGAGGGTCTTTTTGATTCTGGAAAAACAAACAAACAAAAAATTATTTGGATTCTCATTTTACTCGTCATAAATATTTTGCCTTGAGGAAGCATTTCAGTAACTTCAGATTCAGATTCTACCTAAAAACCACCCCAAACTCCCTTTTTTGCAGTTTAAACTTACATTCTCTTAATAATTTTTTTATTCCTGACAGCACAGTCAATTTTTTTTGTGTGTGTGGGGGGGTTATGCTATAGGGTGTGTGCATTCGTCAGAGAGAGACAGAAAGAGAGAGAGAGAAAGTGAGAAATCACACCCCACAGGGGATGGCCATGTGGCAATCCTTTCTCCTCCAGTCTCCTCTCAGCATTTTGGGCATGCACATAGATGCGCCCAGAGTGATTTTCTAGCTGCCAGGTCTGGACTCAAAACAGTGCTGCTGGCCATGTGGGATCCAGTCACCCTAATCTTCATACCATCTGCTGGCCCGGCCTGGTCAAATCTTAAAAAGGAAACCCCTTATGAGAAGATCTCAGAACTCCTAAGATTATTTAGGGAGTAAGATTCAGATCACTATCCTGTAAGTTTTAAGATGGTGTTAATGATGCCATGGGGATTTTAGATTGAGAGAAGTATAGAGAGCTCTTATTTTTTCTTGCACAGCTGGGTCAAACTAGTGTGACTTCATATCATGTAAGCCATGTGACCTTGAGCAGTCACACAGCTTAGTGGGTCTTTGTGGATCAGTCTCACTTGAGGAGGGTGGGCCTGAGGTCTGGGGATCCTTTCCATTCTTAGAGTTGACAAGTCTATGCCATCCTATACTCTTCGCTTGGTGCTGAATATAGAACCAGCTTCAAAATGAATACTAAAAGTCTCCAGAAAATGTGAATTATGAAAAATATCACAATTAGATTTCAAATTATTTTGTACCAAAATAAACTCACACTTTAATTCCATTTTGTTTGTTTGTTTGTTTGCTATATTATGTGTCTGGAGAGAGACAGATAGAAAGAAAGTGAGAAGTCACTGCCCAGCAGTTTTTGACCATGCCACAATCCCTTCTCCATTCTCCTCTTAAGATTTTGGGCATGCATGAACACATGACTGGTATGTTTTTCAAGCCACAAGTTCTGGGACTCGAACTGCACAACTGGCCAGGTGGGATTCAATTGTCTTAACCAGCATGCTACCTGGCTGGCCCTTTAACTCCAGTTTTACACAAATTTTTGATGTTATATGTGATGGAGATATAAACTCCCCATGACTCCTGATGCTTGGTCTGAATGTGAAGGATAGAGAGAGGCAAGCAAGATCCCCTTTGCTTTCATTTTGCTTCCATGGTGACTGGCTCAGTCACTTCGTTTTGTCATGAAGCTGGTTAGAAAAGGGAAAGTGTGGTGTTTTTTCCTATACAGTCCATGCCATCAACCAGAGAGGGAGGGAAATATGGCCCATTAGAGGTTGTGAAAGGGCTCATAAAGTATTTATGAATTTTAGTGACTATATTCATGAGCTTGGGGACCGACACTTAGTCTTTCAAGTGTGCTGGATATTAACAAGTTGCACTCAGAAATTCCTTAAACAGCAACATTTCCTACATGAGAACTGCAAAATCACCCTAAGCAATCAACTAAAATCTTTCTATGGAGCTACCTCTGCTTTTGGTGAGTTTCAGCTAAGTCTGGCCTCGCCCCCAGCTTCCTGGCTGTGGTTGGAATGAGTGAAGTTCGTATGACATAATTTGGTCTACTTTAGAAACAAAATGGTTTGTTAATGCAGTGAGTGTGGGTGTGCTTGGAATTATGACCCTGTGCCTCGAATCAATTACCCGGCCATATTCTGGACACCATAAAACATTTACCCTTTATGTTTTTCATGTGACAGAGCCTTCAGGGAGAAAGGGTTAGTGTCTTTTTTTTCCTTTTCTTTTTTTGGAGAGGTTTTTTGCTATAGGGCGCGTGCGCTCACCAGACAGACAGAGAGAGACAGAGAGACAGAAAGCAAGAAATCACCCCCCAGGGGGTATGGCCATGCCACAATCCCTTCTCCTCCATTCTCCTCTCGGGATCTAGGGCATGCACGCACACGCACCCGGCGTGAGTTTAAGCCACCAGGTTCAGGACTCGAACCATGGTCAACTACGTGGGAGTCCAGCGACATAGCCATTACGCTAACTGCTGGTCCCATAAAGGGTTAGTGTCTTAATCACAGCACTCCATGAAAGCAGCGTAAACATATATCCTACCTCACTCTGGGATAGCATTGTGATAACTGTAGTTCTGAGAGTACAGTTAGGCTATCTATATCTCTTTATTTAACTAAAATTCATGACATAAGGTGTTTTATTTAAATTTTTTTTTTCAATTGCCAGTGGACACTTATTGGAAGGGGATGCAGAGACAGAGAGAAAGAGGGAGAGGGAGAAAGTACCCCATAACGGGGTATGGCCACGCTGCAATCCTGTCTTTTTCATTTCTACATCCTGTTGGGATTTGGGGATGTATGCATATGCCTCCAGTGTGCTTTTTAAGTCACTGGGGCTGGGATTTAAGCCATGGCTGGCCACGTGGGATTTGGCTCCCTCTATCACTAGGCCATGGGGCCAACTCCATGCTGTAAGTTATAGTGTACTATGAAGCCCCGGGTTTATTGACAGAGGAGTCAGGGACTTGACTAATGTGCTTATTTACTAGGCAAATTACAAAAGGCAGGACCTAGCCTTTTATGATCATTTCCCTTCACCCTTTGAGTGGCAATTGTGGCAAGGAAAGAAGGGTCTGCATTTTTTTTTTTTTTGAGGTTTTTGCTATAGGGCGTGTGTGCTCGCCAGACAGACAGAGAGAGACAGAGAGATAGAAAGCGAGAAATCACCCCCCGGGGGGGATGGCCATGCCACAATCCCTTCTCCTCCAGTCTCCTCTTGGGATCTTGGGCACGCACGCACACGCGCCCGGCATGAGTTTTAAGCCACTGGGTCCGGGACACAAACCGCGGTCGACTACGTGGGAGTCCAGCGACATAGCCATTACGCTAACTGCTGGCCCCAGGGTCTGCATTTTGATTTACTGTTTTGTGAAGTAATGTTTCACCTTCAGGTAAATTCAACAATCATCTCTTGAGGGCCTACACACAGGACAACTGTGCCTTGTGGCCTAACGTCCTGAGTGATATGTCTGCACTGAGAGAGGAGACCCCTTCTAGTCCTCATAGATCCCTCCATCTGTCAATGGTGAGGCAAGACTCAAACTGTGCTCATGTCCCTTAGCATTTTCAATATCAAGAGTAGTTATTTCTGAAGGATGTTTGGCTCTTATTCAACAGATGATTGACACCATTCATTTACAGATTAGCACTAGAAAAAGAAAAAACAGTGCCATTATCTGAAGGAACTTAAGAAAGGAGGTTAAGTTGCTTAAAGGGAAAAGTGACCAAATTTGACATCTCTAATACCAGGTTGATGGACTTGAGGGTGAAAAGGCTCTTGTGAAAAGCCTTCTTTTCCCCAACCCTGTCTTCCATTTTGCCTCATTGGATAGGGATAATTCCAGGTGGAATTTTCTAACAAATATCTCCCATTGTGGTTATCTGTGTGTAGTCTTATTTCACCTGCAGCTTGCAAGCTCCTTGAGGACAGGGGCTGTACCTTCTTCCCTTTTTGCTTCCCCTATAGGATCTTATAAACAGTAAGCACTCAATACTATTTAATAAATAAATGAATGAAAGCATCTTTCTGGGGACCAGCAGATGGCGTAATGGTTACATCATTGGACTCCCACATAGTTGACTATGGTTCGAGTCCTGGACTGGGCAATTTAACACTTATGCCAGGTGTGTGTCCAAGATCTCAAGAAGAAAACAGAGGGGAAGGGACTATGGCATGGCCATCCCCTCTGGGAGGTGATTTCTCACTTTCTATCTCTCTCTCTCTGTCTCTCCAGCACACAGTCTACAGCAAAAAACTCTCTGGGGGTGGGGGGGGGAGAAAACATCTTTCTGGCAGTGACCTCCTTCAGAAAAGAGGAAGGGAAAGGGACTAAGGTCTAGAATCATTGATTTTTATATCTGATTCTTTTTGAGCTTTTCAACACTTACTTCCAAAAATCCTGGGAACTCCTTTTCCATGAGTAATCTCAGGTCCTCCTTTGTCAAGAAGCCTTTGTCCCCAGCAAATTTGTGAAAGGTAAACATCATGGTTTCCATGGCGTGCTCCATTTGAGATGGCATTTTGGTGATATCTGTTGAAACCTATTAAAGGATATAAGAGACAAGCTTGTATTAATCTTCTTTTTTTTGGTTTTGCTATAGGGTGTATGTGCTTGCAGGAGAGAGACACACACAGAGAGAGAGAGAGAGAGAGAGAGCAGCACTTCCTAGGGAGAGTAGCTACGCCACAATCCCTTCTCTTTCACTCTCCTCTCAGAATTTTGGGCACAAGTACATGGCATGGCATGTAGGCATACGTGCATGGCATGTTTTTCAAACCACAGGGTCTAAGACTTGAACTGCAGTCAGCCATATGGAATCCAGCTACCTTAACCACTAAGCCACTGGCTGGCCATGCATTACTTTTTTTTTCTAAGTTTATTTATTTCTTCTATGAGAAATACTGTGTGTGTGTGTGTGTGTGTGTGTGTGGAGACTGAGAGAGGGAGAGAGACCCCCAACAATGTCTCCCTCCTCTGATCCAACCCAGTCTCAGTCAGCCTGGATCGGGAGCACATGTTCACGTGCCAGCTGTGCACAGGAAGGTCCTGACACATGGACCCAGGGCTTTTCCCAAGTGAATATGGACGGATGTGTTATTGCTGCACCACCGCCTGACCCCTGTGTTAGCTTTAAAGGCACACATATCACCAGCCTTTTAAGGCCAATTGGAAGGAGGATAATCAGATCATCCATTTGATCCTTTCCGTTCAGTCTAAGGACCAATTCACTTCAGTTTTGGGTTTCTTGCTAGTGGAAATAGGCATTTGAGGTATTGGTGCTCTGAACAAAGGGTTTATTTAGTTGCTAGCTAATTTGCATAAATCACCTAATGAATAAAAGCTTTAATCATTTAGAAAAGCAAGAGCAGTGTCTTTTTTTAACTGACAAAGGACTTACTGAAAGCACAGATATTTCATCATTTCTCTTGGTGTAAATGAGACTCTTAGAGATGACTGAATTCCAACAACCCACGCAGTCAAGCTGGGTTAATATAAACACTTCAACCCTCTGAGCTTAACTTGGAACCTGGTTCAGACTGACTTTAGGGTTTAGAAATCTGCCTACACATGAATTAGTCTTCAGAGTGTACACGCTTTAGTAAAGTTCTGTACTTGCTACTTATTGCAATAAACACATTTGCATCTCTGGCAGTCAAATGCAGTTGCTCTACCTGAATAATAGCTACCCAAAGTGCATTATTGAGATATTTGAGAAGGAACAAGTTAATAGTATATTCCAGCTCCTCTGGGGGCCTAATAGACTTCTGGCAGTACTAGATAGTAGCCCTGCTGCTCTCAGTCTGGGGTGCAGTGGGACAGCAAGAGCTTTTCCTCATGGAGAGTTTACAAGAAAAGGGAAAAGCAGTTAGCGTAATGGCTATGTCGCTGGACTCCCATGTAGTCAACCGCGGTTCGAGTCCCGGACCCGGTGGCTTAAACTCACGCTGGGCGCGTGAGCGTGCGTGTGTACCCAAGATTCTCGAGAGGAGAATGGAGGAGAAGGGATTGCGGCATGGCCATCCTCTCTGGGGGGGTGATTTCTCGCTTTCTGTCTCTCTGTCTCTCTCTGTCTGTCTGGCGAGCGCACACGCCCTATAGCAAAAAATCTCTCAAAAAAAAAAAAAAAGAGTTTACAAGAAAAGAAACACATCAGATCATTATATTTAGGTATAATGAAGTGGGTCATATGTCTCGAGACCCAGTGCCTGGTGCTTCACAGTAGCAGATCAATGAATTCTGGCTTAATTGGAAGGAATGCACTGGACAGAACTGAGCCGCTTTGCCTAATATCACCTAAAGATCACTACTGGATAATAAACTAGAATAGAGACTGTAATACACTATTCAAATAATAAAAAATGCAAATAAAAATAATAATCACAAGATCAGGCTTTGAGTCCTGGTTGAAGAGAAGGCTGGCGACTTCCTCTGCTGGGGCATGCTGATAGGAACTGGAGACATGCTATGTCTGGTTACAGTTGGTGACAGATGTGTGGTCAACACAGGTGGCTAAATGTATTTTTACAGAAGAGAAGGGAGGGTTGGTGAACTTCAGGATGCAGCAATTACATTTAAGATCTGTAAAGTCTTTCCCTCAATCTCCAGAAAAGCACAGGGATCAGCATGCCAAAAAACTGTGATTCTAGAGAATTCTATAAACTAGAATCTTGCATGATTCATTTGGAAAGGTGTTCTCTTGGAAAGGGCAGCAAATTCATGCTTCAAGGTCCACTGTGAGATAATTCCAGGGAAACCACACCCTTTCCCTGCCTCCCCACACAGCCTGATCTGGCTCATCCCCATGCCCCACATGGGCTTCAGATGGCTGAGGGCTTAGAGGGAGTCTGCTTTGCCTGAATTCATTCTGGAAGCCCAGAAATTTGGGAGATCTGAACTGACGGAGTCACCCATGTAGAAGGATGGTGGGACACCACCCCAGCTCTTAAATAACTCAGGAAAGGAGTCAGACCTAGAGAGGTTAACAAATACCTGTGCCCAGGCCCAGCAGCGGAATACTTCACAACCAACTCCCAAAGACCCCAGAAACTGGGGGATTCAGTGGGACACCTCATGCACTCTCTTCACAGGACAGAAGCAAAGCCAGAGAAGGAAGAAGTGGTATATGGCAGGGTTAGGCCTTCCAACGTAGAAAAACAGGTTAATTTAGACACTCCTAGGAAACCCAGTTGTTAGTTGAGGAAAGTGTGGCTACCCTTGAATATCTTCTTCAGGAGAGTGAGGTCAGTTTTCCTCATCTGCATGGGCACTTGGGCTGGGGTCACTCTGGTGCTGCCCCTTCTATGCCCATGGAAGTGTAGCTCTCTTCTCTGGAGTTACATCCCTAACTTCCCTCCTCCTCCAGCTTATTTATTCAGGAAATGGACTGTGACTACAGTGGCCTGCAGACTCCCGAACTATCCAGTAGACCATGTGCAATAAGAACAGAGTAGGGGCAGCCAGAAGGTGAATAGAACGCTGAAAGCCAGAGAAGATACCCTGTGTATCTATCTCATCGATAACCAGTGCTCCAAAGGGAACTGACCAGGGGTACGAGCATGGAACTCTTGAAGGAGCTACATGCTGGTTTTAAAATACGAAAATGGAAAAGGGGGAAACACTGTGATTGAACCTTTGTTCTCTTGGCTAGAGGATTAATCACATAGCTATCTTCTGAGCGCAGCGGTTGTCCCACTGAGTCAGCCCTGCCCGGACCTCTCTCCTTGGGTGGGGCTTGGCTGGGTAGGGCTGACTGCAGTCTGACCGTTCTGTTCATTGCTAAAGCCTAAGTTCTTCAGGGACTTGAATCTGGAACTTTGATCCCTACCCCACCACCCTACAAGCTCTGTTCCTGGGCCGGGTGGGCCCTTCCCTGCATGGCTGAGTATACTTCAGAGGGAGGGCCTCTGGGCTAAAACTGAGAGGTAGCAGTGTCCTCCATGTGGCCTGAGAAACCTACCCCTGCACCGTAAACACTAGATCACATTTACTTGTTTAACTGTTTACCTGTCTGTCTTAGATTTAAGCTCCTCTTGGTCAAGAACTGTGCATGATTCAGCTTTTATCCATAGACCACTAATTAATTGTTTGTTTAATGAGTGAATGAATGAATCTAACAATCCCCTTAGGGACACACGGGACTAGGTTGAAAACTTTGGAGCTCAAAGCTCAGCAGGAGGACCTGAGAGCTTGGAAGAGCCAGGAAAGGGGCCCACAAAAGGCTTGCGGATGAAAGGAACCGTCAAGTACGAGGAGAGCACATTCCATACCGAAAGGAAAAAAGTATGTGTCCTGTTAAACAGGTCTGGTCAGACTGACATGAATGTTCTCCTTTTTATCTCTCCCTTGCTGTTTTCATTCATTCCTCCTGCTTCATGCTTCTCCATTTTGTTAGCTGACTGCTGAGCTTAGTGTCCACTCACCTTTCACTAAATAATTTCATTTTGATGCCTGTGCTATATGCTTCTGTATGCATGGGCAATAGTTCTTAAGAGTACAGGCTCCAAAGTCCATATTTTTTCTCTGTGTAGTTTATTCTACAGAAACAACTCTGTGCTCCACAAACTGGATTACTGAGGGTTAGGCACCAGAAATACACACACACACACTCTTCAGGGTGCTTACCTTTGAGGAGTTCACCAGCTAATGGAATGTTATTTACTTATTTAAATTTGCCAGAGGGTATGTGTGCTTGCCAGAGAGACACAGAGAGACAGCAGAAGGAGAGGAGAGAGCATCTCCCTATGGGGCATGGTCACACTGCAATCCCTTCTCTTCTGTTTCTCTCTCCTTTTGGGATTTTGGGCACACGTGCACACATGCCCGCCATGTTCCTCAAGCCATGGGGTCTAGGACTCATGGGGTCTGTGCACTTGGTCATGTGGGATCTGACTCCCTACAAGTAGGTGATGGGACTGGCTTGAAAAGCTATTTAAAGGACTTATTTCTTTTCCTATAGATTGCAGCTCCTTGAGCAGGATCCAGTAGTCAAGTGTCCTACCCTCATAGAGCCTGCTCAATAAATCAGCAAAAATGAATGGACAATAATGTAATTTTGGTCATCCTGAGAGCAGCAGGCAAACAGTGTCTGCTCTGAGTAGTCCCATATGTTTGCTCTGGACCTATGCCCAGATCCAGGCCTTAATTTCAAAGCAGACGCTTCTAAGGAGCCAGAGGTCTGATTTACTTTACCCTTCTGTATCTCATCCATACTGTCTTTTTCTTCCAGCCCACCCAGAAAATAATTGGCAGGGTGTCAGTGAAAACAAACAGCTGTTATTTAAAATATGTTTAAGATTCTCTCTCTCTTTTTTTTTTGAGTATTTGAATTTTTTTTTTTAATTGAACCCAGAATACATTCTTGAATTTAATCCCTAAAGGAAATACAGTCTGAGTTGAAGATCCAGGCTGTCTCTCTGATCTCTTACCAAATAAACCATGCCCACAAAAGAATTGGGCAGCAAAGGGAATTTCCAGACAGAAGAAAGTTCTTCCAATTCAGTAGGAAGAAAGAACTCAGAAATCTCCAACCCAAGCAAAAAT